TATTCCGTCCTAATTCGAGGGAACGACCGTCGTAAAACGAATCAGAGGGGTATCATACCTCGGAATTCCTCCTCCCGATTACCCTCTGGACGCTCGTTTTTGCTCCGCCCTGCCGGATTCGGGGATGAAAGGAGGAAAATCTCGGAAAACCAAGCAGGAAATCGTATCCCGTTGGAAAACGGTCCTCCCCATCTGGCCGTGCGCGCGACTACGTTCCCAGTGTTTCACTTTTTATTGAGTTATCGAAACTACCCCCGCGAGACAGATTCCCGTGCTGCGCACGAAAATTTTTCTAAAACGAGGTCCCGAGGACCTGTTCCCGATAACTGGCAATTTCATCGATCTGATTTTACGCGCTCGAATCGTCGTCTAGACGCTCGAAGCAACGAATATTCGCGAACATTTTATTATTAACCCTGTTTACGGTCCACGGACCCGCTGCGCGTTTAGTTCGAGTGTTGCTCAGAAAAATATCTGTACAGTGATTTTCTTAGATTTAAAAATTCTTTTCGAGGGGAACAATCTCGGTGGAATTAAGCAATTACGGTAAGTGAAATTAATGAAAATTGAGAAGTGATTGAAGAGCGAATGTGTTAATGTTACTGTGTGCTAAATGAAGAATAATTTTAATTGTATGATATAATCATTATTTTTTCAGTTGTTCCTTTGGTATCGAGTGAACTGCATTTTAAGTGAAATCGTCTGCATATTGACTCTGTATTTAAATTTTACTCGCGTAAAAGAAGAAACGTATACTTCATGCAATATTGCATCAGTGAAAAAGTCTTTGTCGTATTTAATTAGTGTAGTCGATACTTTGTTGGCATTTCACGAAATACAGCTAAGTTAATTGATTATATTGAACATTTAATAATTATTAACATTTTAATTTCTAAGTATGGTACTGAAGGCGCCATCTGTTCGAGAACCCTGGAAACTGACAAGGTCTAAACCGATGGTAAATACGTGTTACATTTTGTTATTATATTATAATAAAAATTTGTTCGCTATCGCCTTAATAATTTACATATCAAATTTAAACAATGTGGAATTATTTTCTCTTAAAGAGTTTTTGATAATATGAAATTTTTATAATAAGCTTCCCTTTCTTTTGGCGGGAAATTCAGCAACATCTTAGTCTCAGATATTGTAGGTTAGAAGAATATATAATACAATTTATAATATATTTACTAAGACTTGGTATAATAATTATTCATTATATATTCACATCATTGTTAATTAAAATAAATATATAATAAAATTCAGTAACTTACTTTGCTTGAAGGGTTGAATTTGTTACATTCGAAAAGCGACTGTTGAGGCCCTCTCTAGGCAAACGAGTCCGGTTCCGGTTTGGTCTCTTTTAATGCTTGACAGATTGGCAAGATGGTGAGTTTTACGTAGTGCTCAGTAAAATCTGTATTTTTCGCGTGAATCTTGCGTAATATATAGAAAAACATAACTGAAAATCATAACTTGTTTACCTGTATATTCAAGTTTAAGAATATTTTTGAATTTTGTAGTAAAATGGTATATTTCATGCTGTTCATTTAATGCTCGATATCTTCCATTCTTATTGTGTTTTCTACTTTGCTACATATGTGATTTTGTTATAAAGTCTTATCTTATTTTCTTTGTGATTTATATTTCTAGTAATAATAGAGTGTGATGAATTCAGACAAATTTTGTAACAATTTTGTAACAACTTTGCGTATAGGTTAACTCATGCGGTAGCTGTAATGATAAACAACAATTTTTATGGTGGTTTTCAAATTAATTAATATTTTACTTGTTTGTTCCAGTCGCTCGTAATTCCAGAAAAATTCCAACACATTCTTCGTGTCATGGGCACGAATATTGACGGTAACAGGAAAGTCATGTTCGCTATGACAGCAATTAAGGGTGTAGGTCGTCGTTATGCAAATATTGTTTTGAAAAAGGCTGATATCGACTTAGACAAACGTGCTGGAGAATGTTCCGAGGAAGAAGTAAGAACTAATTTATACATACTTTTACAAATGTACTGTTAATGTTATCAGAAATCAAACATTCATCTAACTTTATAATCTTTTATTTTTTTATATGGTATGCTTTACAAAAGTATTTTATTTAAGGTAGAGAAAATAGTTACCATCATGGCTAACCCTAGACAATATAAAATCCCTGATTGGTTCTTGAATAGGCAAAAGGATATTGTTGATGGCAAATATTCACAGGTGAGTTTAACAATAATGTTAATGTAATGTTAGTGTTACCAAAGATCTGTTAATTTTTAAGGTTTAAAAGAAAAGTAGCACGTCTTCACGACTAATCGTATGAATTTTTATATTGATTAGATGGTAGTCGTGCAAGATAAACTGCACGGCAGGTTGCTTGTTAACATTAATATGTTAACTGACACCCTGATAATTGATCTAATAGCGTGCAACATTAAATTTTTTCAATACTCTATTAATAATGTTACAATGACATACTTTTTATAACACTTTAAGAAATAAAATATTCATCTATTTCAGCTTACCAGCTCTTATTTGGATTCTAAACTACGTGAAGATTTAGAGCGCATGAAGAAGATTCGTGCTCATAGAGGTCTACGTCATTACTGGGGTCTCCGTGTGCGTGGTCAGCACACAAAGACCACCGGTCGTCGTGGACGCACCGTTGGTGTATCGAAAAAGAAGTAATTTTATATATCTTTACTTATCAATAAATTTATAAAACAAAATATTCTGATAATTTATTATTTAAATGAATAATCTTTATTTAAAACGAGGTATTCATTTTATTTATATTATAGAAGATTTCAACATACAACAAATGTAGATACAAGTTCTTTAGCTGCATTTGATTTATACTTATACCTATGGAATCACTTCTTAAAGGGTTTATATTGTTGCAAAATTGACCGTTCGTTTCTTGATATGCAATTAATGTGCTAATAACTTTTCTTTTTCACAATAGTTTGTACTATTATATATATACTTCAAGAAAGAGAAATACACTCTATAAGGAAGTGACTTGTTTTTGTAAATTTACATTTAAAGAACAGGGAGAATTTCTCCAACTTATTGCACAATGTGAAACACTTGTAATATATTGACAGTGCATAAGGCAGTTTCATTTCACGTTAAAGATAATAAAATGAAACATTTCAATGCAATGGAATGTGCATTAATATCAATAGAATTTTCATTGACAAACAATTAACATTTCTAAATATGCTTTTGGAACTTTTCCTCGTTGATTTCCCCTTACACCCATCATGTAGTCTTCATCACCAGGTATTTGAAAGACAGTAACTACCTAAAAGATGGAGTTAAATCTTGTAAAATTCTATAAAACATTATCGATATATGTAGTTGGAAAAGCTCGAACTAAAATACCGGGAAAGCTGGAAAGATGTTTGAAGATGTAAACAAATAAAATACATTTAACGAGAAGAAATGATATATTTATTTGATACATGCAGAGTTCGAGTAAATGTACATATACGTTCGTTTATATGTAACTTACTATATGCATACGCATAACAGTAATTCTTAATACCAAACAAATATACAGACATACCAGAACAAACGTGTGTAATAAACATCAAGAATAAATTTAAGAAAAATAGGAAAGCGAATATACAGACATAAAATTTAATACTAAATTATGTATATCATGCACGATTCTTAAGAAAATAAAATACCAAATTTATAAAAATGCAAATTCTGGAACAAAAGATAATTAAACTAATTCGATATGAGTATTGTATATGTATACATATATATATATATATATATTATATACGTATTGTATTATCCCAACGCATTTTTATATCGTCCTCTACTTTACAAGAACTCGTAACAATTTCGTAATGCATATATCTATAAAAATTTATTTACATTACTACCTTTTCAATATTCTATTCCTATCTTACATCCTTGAGAAACAGCTTACATAAATTCTAATAATAATTTAAACCTCAAATATATAATAGTATGCTATAAAAAATCAAAATGAATTGAGAACATTGCACTGAATTTATGCAGCCATAAAATGCATAACTTTTTCAATTAGATATACTAAGAAATGCAGTACTTATTAATAATTCGAATAATCTCTAATGAAACTTTCAATTACATTTTCAAATTAAATAACATAAATTTCTTGTAAGATCAAGTTAGTTGAATTATTAGATCATCGGTGCATATGAAATAATGTTTTTATATTTTAATTAATTTAATTAATTGTTTATTGACATTTGATAATAGAAAAGTAAATAGAAAAAATATTTTTATGTTTATCGAACATTTTTATAATTTTCTTGAAAATAAATTATTTATAAACAATTAACTTTAATGAAAAAAAAATATCTCATATGCACATACGTAGCATGAAATAAACTTCTTAAACAAAATTAATTAAATCTTACAAAGAACGAAGTTCTTACATGAAACTTACTTTCTGTAACAAGTCATGCCATTTGTTCGGCTACGTTGCGAGCATGCTTCTGCTTATCTAAATCACAAATTTTGTTACCTCGTCTTGATCAACGCTTAATTCGCTAGAATCCTTCGCTTCATAATCAAATAGTACCCTTGCACGTTCCTGACCATTTTCCGCTGATACATTGGAAGTTGGTGGGGTAGTGGGGTGATAAGGGCCCCCAGATAAGCTGGGTAGGATAAATTACAATTTGGATAAGTTTGGTGAATATGCTTTTAAAATTCGGTCAACTTTTGTTTGCGTTAATATTGTACAAATTTCTAAATGATATTCAATTTGTTCAATCTAGTCACACTTTGATATATGTCAATGTCACAATATAAGACTTTATTAAAATTCTTTAGAAAATTTACTTCAAAGAAAAATTTCAAAGACTTCGAATGAGATCTTGTTTTTAACGCAATTTATGTAACGTATGATGTACATGCTAGATAAAACTGAAATGAAAAATGTTAATAACATAAAGAATAAAAGCACAAGCAATTTGGCAAATAGGACGACATAAATATTAACTAGACATTTACAAGATACATTGAGGAAATTTCGAAACAATATGATTATTTAATAGACGACTGTTAGCAATTAGATATTGTTTTTGTAGGAACATAAACCATTAAATTCTACATCAGTGCATTAATACCAACAAAATGTAATAACATGCATCGGAATTAAACATTGATTAACTACGAAACAAATTCTTAGATACTGAGTTAAATATTGAAACAGAAGTATTAACGATGTAATTTTAATTATATTATTTGTATTCTGAATATAAGCTTTATTCAGACTAAAAGCTTTCCCGTTTATAAAATAATAGTTTTTAAGCATTTCATAAATATAATTTATTGACTGTTTTCTGGTAATTACAAGTAATTCAATAGTGAGATAATAGATTAAGCATTATTTAACATGTCTATAGAAGTATTGTAATAGTTAACAAGTATCTATATAACAGAGAAAAATTTCTGTGCCCTATGCTCCTCTTTGCTCTTTCCTTGATAGATATAACAACTAATTATTGCCTTTTATGTGTGATTAACACTTTCTGAAATTAAATTTTCGAAATGTCGGTATCAAAGGTAGCAGTAACATAGTTAGAACCAGCAAGTGGTGGATGTACAGATGAGTTTTGGGATTGTGTGGGTGAGGGGGTTAGCTCGATCACATCTTCGCTGTTGACTCGCAGCAAAGGACTCGGCTGACGCGCCCTGCAATCCCAATCATGCAAGCAAAGATAGAGAATAGAAAGAATACGTTAGAAGTATAAATAAATATAACAAGCACCGCGCAACAGCAAAAACAAAGATAAACATAAATACCATTTAACGGTACCTATCAGAATTACGATATTTACAACGAAACTGTGTAAATATATCTCGTTTAAAAAATAAAAAATAAATGCTACATACACCACTTTGCAGAAGTAAGCAGAGGTCTAGAAAGTAACACTTGTAACTATCTACAAATCATGATGATCTTTGCGAATGAGTAATGGTTCTATAAGCTTCTTCTAAATACTTTTATATGTCATAAATGACAGTGGTTCCTAAACCAATAATTGTTGAACATTACTCACTCGGATCACCAGAGAGTGGGATAGCTGTACAAGGATAGTGCAGGATAATTAAAGAGTTCAAAGAGAATATATTATAATAAATGAATGTGTTATCTCACCCAGCTAATTCACGCTGCAAGTCTTGCATTGTTGCATGACACTGAGCATAATGACGCGTCTGTGCTTCGATAAATTCATGTAAGCAACGCAGGTGTCCAGCCTGGGAACTTGAAACTCCTTCCAATAGCAGTTTCACTATTTCTGCTTGGCGATCAAAGTCTGACTGTGCTACCCTTAACTCCCTCTCTGCCTAAGTAGAGCAATATACAGTTTTATTCCTTGTTATTAAACAGAAATCGTTGTACAATTCCTTATACAATTTGGGAAAATCATTAATAACAAATAAAAATTATTACATGAACTGTGAACGTTTGTATACTTTCAGTATACTTAAAACTGTGAAACGCTGAAGTCTTTACTTCATTGTTATTAATCATTTTTATTTCATTTTACCTTTTGAGAGTAAAAAAACATATAAATTTGTATAAACGTATGCAAATTAATGATGAATATACCAAGAGGAAATACACATAACACCAATGATCAAATTAAATATGAGGTATATAAGAATAATTATGCATTGTACAATGAATAAAACAAATATAGAAACTTATTTCATTCAGTGCATCCACTGTACCTTTAAATAATTTAATTTGGATAATATATAAAATTTAAGAAGCAAAATAAAATTAGCTACGATTTTTGAGTTGACAGAAGCATTAGCTTCATCAATACCTGATCAAGTAACACTTCAGGTGATACGCCAGACTCCTATTAAATGCAGCAATGTACAGGACAAAACACATAGTAAACGAGTATAGCACACAATTGAATGAAATAATAAGTGATAGAACTTACACTTTGCTGGCCCAGCATGCTTCTTGCTTTTCTCACTCTATTCTTACATGCATCTAGGTCCAATCTAAAAAGATTATTAATGTTTTAATTAAAGTCATACATTTATGTCTGAAAAGAAATTAAAACCCATACCGCTTATTTTCCAATATTGCCATTTCTTTGCTAACAGTTTTCATTTCTCCTTCCAAAAACTTTCTTAAGGGTTGTATATAACAATTAGCTGCAGTGCCAATAAAGTCTCTCTCAATTTGTCCTAATTTCTGCTCACATTGACCCACTTTTATTAGTGCACTACCTAAAATGAAAACATTGAAAAATCCAGATATAACTAAGTTTAAAATTTGAGGAAGTAAAGATAAAAGTTTAATATTATTTTAAACAGGTCAGGAAAAGCATATACCATAAGCAATTCCTGGGCCAAAGTCATTTCCTGCCTCTATCATGTCCATGCCCACATATTCGAGATTACTCAACCTGTTAGGTTTCTTCTTATCAATCTTCTCATAAAAGAAATCTTCAATTCTGTTGCCTATAATAATATATATCATTTAAAATAAGCATACTGATTTAAAATCTGTTACAAACAAAAGTATTATGATACCTGGATTTGGAGTAAGTACCGACTCCATGTTCCTAAGAATTTTTTCAGTCCATGTTTTAGTTGCATTTGCTCTTTCAGCAAGATGCTCTAAATGTGCATCTAATTCGGTTTTCTCTGATGTTCCCAATGTTTCCTCAGTTAACTGTAAAAAATGTTAATCATCATATGACTTTCATATTGCATTAAATGAGGCCACTGAGATACCAATTTGCTTTCATAGTCTTTTAAATTTAAGTGACTCCTTTAAAACATCTAAGAATGTCAAACTACCAGCTTGCAAATAAAAGAGAACATCAGCCTTAGTCATTCCAACTTATTTGATATGTTCTGAGTCATCAAATGATTAAGTATTTAGCTTACGAATACAGAATGTGTTTTAACAAGTCTGCATAAAGTAGACAACGCTTAATCTTAAGTGATACTACCAGAAAGTGGTAGAATGATAAATGGCACAGCACAGGGGAAGATAATGAAAAAAATTAAATACATTCACTAACCTCAGTTTTCTAGTAATTAAGTTTAAACTATATAGACATAAAGTACAAAGGAAAGTTCACAGATTGCGAGTACCGAATTAGATAGACTGTAAAATGCTCAAATTCGTAAAATCAAAATACGGAAAATACTGTCAATTCGTTATTATTGTATTTTAAATTTTTTCTTCGTTGGAAAAAGAGTACAAAATGTCAGAAGTGACAGCGTTCGGTCAGAAATGATCAAAGGCAATCCGTTCTTGTCAACAGGAATTTGTTTAATTATTATAGTAGAAATTATTTACCTGTACAACTCTACTAAGCGCAGCACCAGCATCTTTTACCAATTTCTTTACGTTAAAATCCATTTTTCACGACTGCTTCGGTACGAATCTTCTATAATCACCCCCTGCCACTCTTTATTTTCTATCGACCGCTAACTCTAACTGCCTCCGTGAAGAGGCGCTTCGCAACAATTTGCGCAACATAAATTGCAAATTTGACTGGAACGAATTGTGCAAAACAAATATTATTGTAAATTCTATAAGCTTTTATTTTCTATAATAAATGATGAATTGTCTGTTATCGTACTATTATTTGCCATTTAATATAGTAATTGCAATTAGCTTTATATTTTAACTTTGCGAAAAAACAAAGAAGTTCGATTTAATATTAGTCGAGATTATTGTCAGTTTCTGCGTTCAAATATCATGTAGAAATATAATATTATAGGAATAGATTTGTGATATGCTTTTCATTATTATTTAATTTTTTAATCAAATCTGCGGCTGAAGGGTATGTTGGTACCACCTAGCGATGTTAATGTGGTACTAATTCCTGGTTGTGAATTGATAGCTACTGCCATCTGTCAATAGAAATAAAAACCCTATTAAATTCAATTTCTAAATTATAAAATAACTCTCAGGGGCAAATTTAGAAAAATATATTAAACATGTAAATGATTGTAATAAGTTGTTAGCATCCGAAAACCATCATTGAATGTCACAGTGTGAAAAACTCTTATTAATTCCTACATTGTATCAGGGGATGGATAATTGTTTCGATCGTCATAATATATGAGAAGTCCGAAAGATTGCGCATTGTGATTTTCATATCTGAGAGGGAAGAGTTAAGTTTGGAATTCGGAGTGTCTAATTTTTAATGATTTATTATTTAAAAAATTACTCATGCACGGTGTGATCTGTAAAGCTTTAAAACGGTAAGTCAGACATGAGAATATTACACAAAATGTGTGTCGTGTCGAACTTTTAGTTTATATTTAGTAAACAAACATGTGTTAACCTCGCGTACATTTAACGTAAGTGGATGTATTCCACGTTTCGCCAACGTTAATCAATTTTATGAAACATCAAAGTATTGTTGAATGAAATTCAATATGTCTAGAGGTATATTTTTTAATAATATCTCCTGAGAATACGTAAACCTTATTTACAAATATACCAGCAGAGTTGCTATTAAGTTTGATTCAGACTTTAGACAAATGATATTTGTTCTTATATAAATGAAAATAAAGCCCTCTTATATAGTCACCGAATCTAAGTACTATATTGTGACTTATTTTTGAAATGATGCATATGTAGGTTTCACTCAAAGAAGCTGTTAATGAATAATCATACAGATTTTAAGTCTTCTTATAAAGCATTATTTGTCACAAAGAACATCACTCAGATTGCCATATTAGACGAGGAGAAAGTATTTAATATTGATATGGTAAAGCCAGAATTACATACACTATCATGGCTGTACAAGGCTGCTCCTTGTTTTCCTGTAAATGGATCTAAGGTAAAGATACAAAATGAATACGCAAAAGACATAGATGTTATATTAATTCTTTTGTTCTAGATTAAGATAATTCATGAACCAAGTATATTTTATTCAACCCTTCTGGAAAAATGTAAAAATGCAAAGAAAAGAATAACATTTGCATCATTATATTTAGGTACAGGAAAGTTAGAAACAGATTTAGTAAGTTTATTTGATAAATGATATTACAATAGTAACAATGTAATCAAAGAATTTTATCTTTATTGTATAGATACAAGCTATAGATGAAGTTTTGACTTCAAGTAATGGCAATATTGAAGTGAAAATTTTATTAGACTTCATGAGGGGATCTAGGGGTAAATTAAATTCACGTAAAATGTTGAAACCATTACTTAACAGTAAATATTGGCATTGCTGTCAAATATTTTTATACCATACTCCAAAGTTACGAGGTATCTTAAAGACGATGATGCCAGATCGTGTGAATGAATTAGTCGGATTACAACATATGAAATTATATATGATAGATAACGATCTAATAATTAGTGGGTGAATAATCAAATTTATAATTGTATATAAGAGAATTTGAATGCATTAAAATTGAGAAATGAATCATTTTTAGTGCTAATCTTAGTAATGATTACTTCACGAACAGACAAGACCGTTATTTTGTAATTGAGGATTGTAAAGAACTTTGTGACTTTTATAATGAGCTAATTGAAAAAGTAGGGGAATTCAGCTTTTTGCTTCAACCAGATGAAAGTACAGTATTAAGTCCCACTGCAAGTAGTCATCCATTTAAAGGTAATCGAATTAAATTCATTGAAGAAGCTGCATATAATGTGAAGGAATTTTTCCAAAGAGAAATGGACAAATATTCCAATACTGAAAAAATCTGTAAGTAAATTTTTATTTTAAATATGTATGTATATCAGCATAAATGGTTTAAGAGGAAATGTTAATTAAAATTATTTTAGTAGGCAAAGATTCAAATGTGGATACATGGGTCTTTCCTTTGATTCAAATGGGGCAATTAAATATTTATCATGACAGTCAGATAACATTAAAACTGTTACAAACTGCACAGCCAGGTGCAACTCTTAGATTAGCAACAGGCTATTTTAATTTAACTTCAGAATACAGTGATGCATTACTTAAAAACTGCCAAGGAACGTGTCATCTTTTAACAGCACACCCAACTGCTAATGGTTTTTTCTGTAAGCTAAGATTATAAACATGGAAAAGTAAAAATTTCTTGATGATTTTGATTGGTGAAATTAAAAAAAATAACAATGATATATCTAGCTGCAAAAGGAATTTCTGGAAGTATTCCAGCAGCCTATACAAAAATTGAGGAATCGTTCATTAAACGTTGCAATAAGATGGGACAAGAAAAACGGATCACATTATGGGAATTTATGAAACCAGGATGGACATATCATGCAAAAGGATTATGGTATTCCTTACCAAACCAAGAAAAACCAAGTCTTACGCTTATTGGATCGCCAAATTTTGGTAAACTTTAAAATTATAAAAGCACGTAGCTTATTTTTAAATAATTAATGAAAATATCACTTTCAGGTTACAGATCAGTAAGCAAAGATTTAGAAACTCAAATTGCTGTAATAACAAAGAATCCGAAATTACAAAACGAATTGCAGAAAGAATACGAACGATTATTTGCATGCGCAAAGCCAGTAACGACAAGAACATTTCACGAACAAAATAGAATTGCACCGGCTTGGGTATACATGATGGTGGTTCTGTTTCGATATTATTTTTAGAAAGTATGTCATACTCCCTGAATGTCTTCTGTATGTAATTTAAGCCGTATTTAATTAATACAAATGAAGTTAATTTATTTGAATTCGTCTCAGTAGATAATGAAATGTGTTTATTGTATAAAATAAACATGTAAATAAGGATTATCCTGTCGGATTATTAATTTACGTAGTCTCTTCATTTATATAATGTACAGTATATTTAAGATTAGTGGAAAAATATAAATAAAAAATCTAAGTGTCCCTCTCCGTTAATAAATAGGATTGAATTGATAGATCGAGCTATATGGGTTCGATAAATAAAAAGTGCATTGTTCTGAGGTTACACTGATGATAATTATTTGTTGATTGACATACTATCCTGTATGGAACGTGATAAAACTTTATGGTACTATGATTGCGACGTTTTATACGAAACGTCGATACAATAGAAACAATTCCAATTAAACTGCAAATGTAATATAAGAGAAATTGTTCATAACCACTTAGAATAGTCATTGTCCACTATTGGGAGTCACAATTACTGCGACTCCGGAAGATTTCTGTTTCGATGACACTTTGCACAAATGATTGAATTGGTTTTGCACTAGAGATTTCCAGAAATGGCAGTTAGAGAAAAGATTTTCCCAGAAAGTTTTATTTGTCGTCGATAACGAATGTTTCCTCCTTGACGAAAAATTCAATTACTTCTTCTTCTACGTTCTTCGAATCAGAATCTAATTCATCGGTATCAATATCTGAAAAGGAAATAATTTCAATGCTGTAAATTCTAAATACTATACTAGAGATTAGAAAAATTACTGTGTTTACATACTATTGCGTAATTCTAAACGTCGTTTCTTTTGATTGTTCCATTCTTGCACGCGTTGCGATCGGTATTCATCGAACGCCTTCATGGCTGCGCACCGTTTCTCAATTAATTCCTACAAAACGGTTACATTAACAAATGTGCTTTTAAGTACATATAATACAAACTATAATTAAATACCTTCGAGGCACGTGTTAATCGCATACGATCTTTGCTTTCGAATTGTGCAGAATACTTCTTCAAGTTCTTCTTGATTTCCTTAATTTGTTCTGGCGTTAATAACGTTGGCGGCCTTGGTCGCCATAGCAGCTGGTTAAATTGATTAAGATTAACCCTCTTCAAGATACGTCCTTGGAAAGTCCATATCCAGTATCCATTATCGACGCTAGTTTTCCAGCTGGAAACCGCTGTTACAACATATCTATAACAAGAAACATGATTAAGTAAATTTTGCAAGGACATTTATTTAAATAATAAGTTTATGCTTCCGTTTACGATAAAAATACGTTCTCACCGTCCAGTAGGATCCCATTCCACATCCGAAGTTTGATAATGGTCAGTCGAATTCATAACAGTAAAATCATTAGTATCAATAAACTCTAAAGCACCTGCCATGGTCGTTAATCCCGCAAGTACGATAAATTGTCCCGAAGGTGACCAGAACAAATGATTGCAAGCTTTCTTCTCCAATTTTTCTGTTAAACAAAATAAATATTATAGTACATATTTGTTCTTGTGACCTTGTCAAATATTTGATAATTATGAAGACTTACTAAGAAGAGCAGGTTGATGACCATACCGCACTTCGTAGAAACTAACGTTAACACTTGGAATCTCCCCGTGAATGATAGCAAATTTACTTCCAACAGGTTCCCAGGCGAACGCATGAATTGGTTCTTTTATTTCCACACTGTCAACTGGAATTTGCTTTTCTCTCATGTGAAAGATTTCGAAATTGTACGACATACCCTGGTGAGAAAAATTTAATTGATAATATATGTGATACACATTTCTTAACAAATTGAAAAATTAATGTGTACCGTGTACTTCTGTTCCGTCTTTTCTTTACGTTTGGCAAAACGGTCTACTTTCACGCAAAGGTAATCCCCTGACTTTTGCCAGTAAATCTTGCAGTCGGCGACGTTAAACAAATTCTTGTTACGTATTTCGTTACGGCTAAAACGTAAGTTTATACATTACATTAGTATCCTCATAATGAAATGAATGCATGGCGAAGCAATTAAAATTATTACTTTGGAATTTCAAGAAGAGTGACTCTAGCCGGAACATCTTTATCTTCCGGTACCCAGTAAGCGAGAACATTATCTGTTGGAGACCAACTGAAATCTCTGATTCCAGGAATTTTTATACTTTTCTTGTCCAATAATCCAAATGACTGAAAGTTTATGATGAATTAGTTTTTACAAACTAAAATAACTGTATCATATATAATATTACAAAAGACAAACGTACCGGTGTTTCATAAACACTCAAAATATCTTCTCCCATACGAGCAAGATATTTATCATCATACGACCAGCGGAAAATGGGCCACACGGAAGATCCATCTGCATCAAACGCACGTTTCTCCTGAACGGTCAAAATGTCCCAAATGACAAGTCGTTTCTGATCCGAACCGAGATCAGTTCGAGGAGTGTAAGTTACTAGATAACGTTCACAAGGTGAGAAGTCGATGCATTCAACACCCTTTTGACCGAATTTTGCTTGTTGTAAAAATTGAGGACCACCCCATAATGCAACACCAAGTTTGTGAAATGTTGCCAAATATGTTCCCAATGGAGACCATTTGACATAGGTCTCTGTCCAACGCTGTTAAAATTAAATAATTATTGTACACTAAATAAATGATAAAATTTATATGATAACATAGATAGAGAGTATAGTTACCGAACGTTCTTCGAGTAATGTTGGTTCAGGGGCAGAATTTTGCCAAACCTGAACAGTAAGAGAGGGACCATTTCCACAAAGTACACAGAACTGATCATAAGCATCTGGTTCTAAAAGATAATAATGTAAATCCGTTGCAGCTTTGAATGGTTGTGGTTTAGGTGGTTCCCATTCTTCTGAGATCTCTTCAAATTTCTTGAAGTCGGTAAATAAATTTACTTTAAATGTGTGTTGCTTATCAATTTTGTAATTATTTACAGATTTAGCAGCTGCTAAGGCATTAGGAGGGTTATTGTACTCCAGAAATATGTATCTGTAATTAAGTAGACACTTTTAGATTTCTAATTAGCAGTCTTATACAGTGGTATCTCAACTTGAGAAACAAACAGTGATATATTTATATATATTTCATATAATGTTTCATAAATCAAGTTATTAATAACAGGTAGTTAAGAATCATCAATCTAATATTAATATTATTCACTAAAATGGAATGCAAAATAAACCTAAGGTATATAAACATACCCTTTTGTGTATCCATTCTCATTCTTAGGATAATATTGGTTAACTATTGTACCACATTTTCCTAAGACTTTGCTAATGACAGATTGAAGTTTTTCTAATCTTTCTGGTTCAACCTGAGGAACGCCGTCAACGACAATCACTGATTCCACTCCATCTGTCTCTGATGGCTTCTGCTTCAATATATCACCAAGAAGTTCTACAAGCAAGAAAAACATAAAGATATATATTTTATCGTCGGCATTGTAGAAAGATGACTTATTTTCTAGTATATGTGTTACATTTCAATGAATCTCGATGAGACTAATAAAACATCGTGATTGTGGAGGTTATGTTCACGTGCCACATTTCCGACTATACGTAGCCATGCCTTCAGTCATCGTACCGTAAGAACTGTTTCGTCGCATATGTTAAAAATTAAGTTTACCTTCGTCAGTGATATCGTCGACAAATCCTTCGGGATCGCTAAAATTTGCTTCTTCATCGTCGTTCAATGTATCGTCATTATTTTTCGCAGAATCTTCGTTTTGAGGCGTTTTGTCCGCCAACGTTTTCTTCACCATGGTGGAAACCTCTAAGCACAAGGAGCATCAAACATGGAGTAGTCTTACAAAGATAAACCTACTGTCAGAACCATTGATGTTTGTATCCCCAAATTGGATCAAATTAATTCGCGAAATTTCAAGCTGATGTTATTTCTTTACTAGCAATATTTTTATCATTTCCTTTGAGCTACTAAATAAAAAAGGAAAGAAAAACTACCAGTAAAAGAAAATAAAACTAAAAGCGAAAATTGGAAACATTAAAAGTGCATCTCAATATTTAGTTAGATTAAGTTATATGGTTCGTGAATTTAATTTTATTAAAAATAAAAATTATATTGCGTATGCAATTAAAAATTCTTTGTTAAGAGATCAATTTGTTCTGGAGCTGTGTTCATGTATTATAACATGCATACTCTTAATATAAGAAATTTCTTCTCGAAAGATGTTCAAGTTTCACTTCTGTAACAGCCTTTATGGCATAACTATTGGTTGGTATTGGCATTACTTGGATTGGTCATTCATGTAATACTGTTTGTTCATTGGCTAAAGGAATCTTGTTGACTTGTATAACCGTCATTTCAAATTGAAAAAGCTGTTGTAACAATTCGCGTAGAGATACGCTTAAGAGTGACCGTAGGAAATAAGCGAAGTAGTCTTTTCTAAATGTTCAGTGATTAAATGTTGAGACTTAAAAATGTTTAGTATTCCTAGAAATTAATTGCACCAAAAAGTTTGTTAGTAAACTAGTCTAAATATAAAATAAACTTTTGTTGATTGTGTGTTATTCTTTCGCTATATTGTAAACATTTTACAATGTCGTTTTCGAAAGCCAAGATTCAAAGGTTTAATGAATTTGGAAGTAAGTACTCGCATAGCATTTATTATTTCCTTTTAGTTTGTTCATACTATATAATCGTGACATAAATGCACGAATGAACATGTGATAAAAATGCAATACATTTGTACAAATGTATTCTTACAGATGATGTACCTCCACCAGGAGCATATGATCCTAAATTTGATGATAAAGTAAAAGGACTTGCTATACACAAATCAGAAAGGTTTCATGAAAAAACTATAACTAATGCTGAACACAATTTATCACTTTCTAATAAAAGTGTCAATAAAGCTATAACAGGCTTTAAAACAGTGAGTAATTAAAATTTATTTGAAAAATGGAGCATTAATCTTACCCATACTAAAACTTGAATCTTTTTAGCCTCAACCTCCACAGAAAAATACTTTATCAAAGTCATGCACAAAACTGAGGCCACGTTCTATTCTTCCATCTCCAGATACAAAATCACATCATAATTTAGAACGTGAACTTGCAGATCTACAAATAGAATGTTTAAACAAAGACAAAACCATACAAGAGTATGAAAAACGCACACAAGATATGCAAGAAAGCATACAGGAACATGTAAAACGCTCACAAGATATGGAGGATACTATACAAGAACATGTAAAACGGTCACAAGATATGCAGGAAACTATACAAGAACATATAAAACGCTCACAGGATATGGAGGAAACTATACAAGGACACGTGAAACGTTCACAAGATATGCAGGAATGTATTCAGGAACATATAAAACGCTCACAAGATATGCAGGAGAAGATACAAAAATTAGAATCTCAGTTAGAGGAGTCACGTAAAAGTCAAGCGGATATAGAAATGCAAAATAAAAAAGATAAAGAAACAATGGTTGTGGAATATTTTATACAATTGAAAGTATATATTTATTTTACTAAATGTAATGTTTAATTTTTATTTATAGATGAAATTACACCAAGAAGCTTTGGATAAACATATTGAGAGACATAAATCTGAGCTGGAACATCTTCTGGAAAAGATAATGAAATTGGAGTTTGAATTAACCAGCCAAAAACATATTAGTGAGGATAAAGTAAATCATCATTAATATTAAAAATTAAAATCTTAACAGTATACCTATTAAACGCAACTATGTATTTTTAATTCACAGATTCAAAGCCTTGAAAAACAAAATGAAGAAAATGTGCTGGCTTTAAACGAGGTATAGACTTAAACTCGTTTTTACAGTTCATTAGAACATAAAATTTATTATTATTTATTTCTAGGCAAATACCAAAATAGAAGAACTTACTGATACCATTAGAATTATGGAGGAGAAGAAGAGTGATACCAAGGAAAACACTGAATTACTTGAACAAGAAAAAGTTCGTCGAGAAGCTCTTGAAGAGTATGTTCTGCATAAATTAATTGATACAATAATTTTATTTTGTGACGGTCGCAACTTACGTTTGTTCCTTTAGGGAAGTAAGAAAGCTTCTGGAATATATCGAGCGTCTGAAAAAGGATTATGAGGAGATTAGTGAAAAATATGCTGAATTAATCGGTCATCAAAATCATAGACAGAGAATTAAGCACGTTTCACAGTTAAAAGATAAAATCAATCAGTTGGAAGAGGTGCGCTTAATCATCTTGAAGTTAAATCTTATTAAAAAAAAGTGTATTTATATTGAATATAATAAATTGAAATATATTTTTGCAGGACTTACGCTTGAAAGTAAAGAAGATAGAACAGCAACGGCAAATTATTGAAAAGATGAATCCAGAAAGAAAGCGTATACTAAATAAGTTTAAGGAAAATTTCTTAAAAATGAAGGAGGAATCCACAACGCCTGAAAGTTCTCCAATGAAACCATTAACACCTTTAAGAATTATAAATGACTAATTCATAGTTACTGCGGATATTGTAGACAGAGTATTTATATATGCAATTGTTAAACTAAGATCGGTTTTATATTAATAATTATGCGAACATATAAGATGTGTATAAAAATACCCTTATATTTTTTCAAAAGTTCTATGTCATTGAAAAGTTGAAATTTTTATCTTATAATACATTACAATAAAATACTATTGCATTTACTTTCAATATAATTAACTCTAGACATGAAAATTCCTGAATTTTCTTAAAACACCTACATTATAATAAAAGGTCGATTGAGGTCGAAAATAAAATTCTTTTTATATTTAAAACATACTTTTATTAAAGTAATTATATCATTGCTTAATCTTCTTCTTCTTCTGGGGCAGCTCCACCACTTCCCTTACGCAAATTCTTCCTCTTTACACGACCAGGTCTGCCACCACCGAACGGAGACTTCAGCGAGAAGTCTATGTGCTTTTGCGAATCTAAACGCACAATGAAGGATGGAATGTTCACCACCTGTTTGCGTACTCTGAAAAACAAGATGTATCTCTACAAATTTTTGTCTCTATCCATCACAATATACCTTTCAACTTTAAATATATTATTGTGAAGTTACTTAGTGTTCAAAGTATGTACCAATTATTATCAATGTGGATAAATCCGTTAGTACAATGACAGACGTTAAGTGCCAGTTTCCTGACACTTAAGTGGCCTGTCTGAAACAAAAACAGCTTTCAACGTTAACAGTGTAATTGCTCATCCATATTTAAATTCACATTTTTTAAATATGTTTGGACTATCAACCGGGTAAACTCTTTGGATACCTGTGGTAGTCAAAAGACTATTATATTCCAATTGTATGAATAATAAATATAAATTTTCTAATGTATCTCCTGTTCATGAAACCAGAATAGTTAAATCAAGCTAAACTGGTGATTAACCAGGATTTTATTCTTGCCTTAAAGATTAGAAACCATCTATATGTAATCAGATATTTCTTGCCCATTTTTTAAGGCTTATAAAATTTCTACATCCACAAGTACTAACCGAATATGACGTTGACGAATCAGTACACGAGCATGATGAATAGACTTGGCAAGTCCCAATTTGAATACTTGAGTTTGAAGACGCCTCTCCAAGAAATCTTCGATCTTCAAGCCAAGGACATAATCGAGTTTCATGCGACTCTCATCTAATACACCAATTCTTACCAGACGACGCAACAGAGCATTTCCTAACAAATAGAAACATCAGTTAAAAAGAAAGAAAAATATGAAATACAAATAATAATTGCATGTCATCATTCAGTATGGATAAAACAGGTCCTCAAAATGTTAGGTCAAGAGGTGTCAGATATGTTATAATTTCATCATTCTATGTATTTTATACTATATACGAATATATTTTTAAAAAACTGATAAATAAGAATTACGATAAGCAGAAGTAAAAATACTGTTAACTTGGTATAACAAATTAGGAAAGCATTATAAATAACTGAAATAATACCTTCGAACAGACGTTTGGGATCCTTTTCTTCAAGAGTAAGCAGCTCACGAGCAGCTTTTCTGATATTAGCCAAAGTATATTTGACTCTCCATACTTCGCGTTTATTACGAAGACCGTATTCACCGATAGTACGTAATTCTTGATCTAAACGAGCCTTTTCATAAGGTCTTCTGGGCGTAACATAAGTCTTCGAAAAGACTGACGGAATTCGTCCGTTTACCATTTTGTATAGTCACTGCCTACAAGTACAAAAACAGTTTAATAAAGTTAAAAATATTTTAATTCATTAAATTAGATTCGATTATGTACATATTCGTGGTAGATAAATTATAAAAATATCGTAATTTTTTGGAATTCGAATAAAAAGGCGATTACTGTGGAACACGTGGTAGGGAAGATTTTTCACGTGTTGAATAATTTGAAAAGAAAAAATATTGTTTTAATACAAATATTCTTCAAATAAAAGTATTTCAATGATATTTTATACAGGTTGATAAATGTAATTTATTAAATATTATAGAAAGAAAACGAAATATCGTACTTACTCAGCTTCGCAAGCACAGCGACTATACCCGGTTACACTCGGAGAAGAAATGGCCGAATTCCTCTCACGGAAATTAAGTTGTAAAGCGAATGCAGCGCCAAAACCGGAAAGTCTAATTAGTTTGCAAACGTGAACTTTAAAAATACGATAATATATTTCTGATGAATTTCTTGTACAAATGTTAACAATAAATTATGTTTTATATTTTTTATAATATGAAATATAAAAATTTATATATATATTTTAATTGCGATAAAAAAATAAAATTGATATACACATTTTCACTCTTGGTACATTAAAATTTGTAGCAAATAATTATAATTTTATGTATTAAAATATTTATATTTATTTTAGTGTTAACTACTTAAAATAAAATCCTAAGTACTGTTTGTCTAGCCATGATAACACATAATATATACAAACTGTATATTCACAATTAGTCACGTATTTTAAAGTAGTTGTAAGAAAATATATATTGTAATATATTGTAATTTCTAGAATTTCTGTGTAATCTATTTACTAGCGAATTGTTTGTATGATTTGGTAATTGTGAAATATAATTGCAGATTTGGAGCAAACAATACGTCAGAGAATACGGACGATTGTATACGCATAATAAACACGCATCAAAAACGAATTAATCATGAGGACAAAGACTTCTTACATTAGATAACAAAAATCTTTATCTGCTGCGTGATATTTAGTCATACTTCACCTTTTTTCATTATCGTTGACGATATTTTTATAATATTATTGTTCACGTACACACGTATGAAGTATGTGCTTTTACAGTTATATAATCGTATTTATTATTTGAAACTAATAAATAAATAGTACAGTTGTAAATAATAAAAGTAAATGTACGATAAATGAAGCATAAAGTTTTAAATTTTAGGCTTTTTTAGTTCTAACCTAATTATGATTTATTCATGTATTACAAATATATCAGGTTTTTCACTTTACTATAAATATTTTATTATTGTAAATATATATTAAAACGTATAGATAGTTAAATTGTACTTTGTATTTTAATCATTTTATGGCACAATAAAACATCTCAGTATATACTAAAGTATGTACAATACTTTTATGATTTCTATATCTTTAGATAAGGCATATAATGGAGTAAGTCACGTTTAACATTAAGTCACGTTTAATTCACGTTTCAGTTTGATATTCTTGGACTTTTTGCTTGAATATGTTTTGATATGCAGGGTTATACTGTTGACCCCGAAAGTGGTGAAACGAAGATAAGAGGAGATGTAAGTAGCTGTCACGTTTTCAATGTACTCAGTATCTTATTGACACCAAAGGAAGCATTAAGAAACTTGTACTTCAGTCTCGTGATTTATTAAGAAATTCTTTAATTTGCTGCGATTTTAAATATATTCATTTTCCAAGTTTCCAATATATTTTATACATTATCATGGAGGCTGTGGGATCTGTAAGTACTTCAGTTTTTGTAGTTTGAAACAGAAATTTTTTTGCTACTATATAAGTTATTCAGTTATATAAATGATAACAATGAAAATATAAGTTAATTCTTATTACAACTGTATCAGAGGTTTTTACATTTCAATAAAATAATGGGGTAATTTGCTGCCTTATGTTATTGAGGTAGTATAAAATTATTAGAAATGGAATTTTAAAGGCTTTAAATAATGTTTATTTTTTATGATAAAACATTTTGAATAAAATAAAAATAATTTAAATATTTCTGTAAGAAATACCTCTAATGATAAGAGGTGTACTGGATGGGGGATGATATACGTGGAGCTGTATCCACCATTTAGTGTCTCATGTGTTCTTTTGCATTATGAGTTTGCGAGTTTGATGTCCCAAACTTACATGTACAGGCTGAAAAAGAAAATAAAAAATTATCTATTCTACGACTATTGTAAACGTTATTATAAAATTAAATGCATTTACAAATTTAACTTATTTCAATGATGTTAAAAATGAATACATATTTTTGGACAATTAATACACAGGATAGACTCTCAGCAAATCATTATTTAATTAAAACATAATAAAATTTTTCTGAAAGGAGTCAGAGATCATAATATCTTATATGTTACTGATAATGCTTCATAACTAGCACATACAATTAGTATATCTTGGTTTCATAGAAGAAAAATTGTCCTCATAATTGATGATAACTCGTGGAACTTTATTCTAGAGATAATAACTATTATTGTTGTTTGAAAGGAAATTTATAATTCACGTGAGCAAACTCGTGCAAGATAATACGCAATGATACACATATTATTCATTGCAGTGGCAGTGACACTGATATATCAACACGTACTCATTTCATTATAACATAATCTTTAATGGATGTTTCATTTTTTCAATCTATTTTGCTAACAAGATTCTTTAAATATCTGATTTGTTAAAATACAATTTAACAAACAAGCACTTCATATTTTTTATAGTATCCTATTTTGAAGTCTTTTATTGCGGGATCATTATCTGGCACATTTTCAACTATTTTGTTTCAACCACTGGATCTTATTAAAACAAGACTTCAAAGCAGAGTGAATCTCCATCTCGAGTGAGTGAAAAAATAATTCTCAATCTTGTGAATCAACTTGTTTAAAATTGATTTTATCACATATTTTGTATATTAGTTCTCCAAAAAGAGGAACAGTGGGAACTGTAATTCATATAATCAAGAAAGAAAATGTGTTTGGACTCTGGAGGGGTATGACACCGGTAAGAATTTAATAATTATACTCAATCTAGGTATATTGGGAAGCAATACTTATTAAAAACATTTTTGTAGTCCATAACCAGAGTTATTCCTGGTGTAGGATTATATTTTTCGTCGATACATTGGTTAAAACACACATTCCATTTAAAAGATCCTCTCACATCTACAGAAGCCATGTTTTTAGGCATTACTGCGAGGTCTATGTCTGGAGCTTTATTAATTCCAATAACTGTAGTAAAAACACGTTTCGAAGTAAGCATGATTTTACGTTACTCGCAACAAAGCAAATAAAACATTTAATCCAACACAGACTGCATGAAAATAATTTACCAATGATTTCATTTTATAGAGCGATGTGTATAAATATAATAGTATCAGAGAAGCATTGGCATTAATTTACAAGCAGGAAGGAGTGAGAGGTCTTTCGAGCGGATTAGTACCGACATTATTAAGGGATGCTCCATTTAGTGGCCTTTATCTTATGTTTTATACTCGATTAAAAAATATCGTCATGGAAGCTGGTAAATGCCGCTGAGTAGAAGTTATCAAATTTTCATACGATATTCATAACGAATAAGAATATTTATTTTTAGATTTACCATACGCCAAATCATCAGCTCCGATTCACTTTAGTTGTGGAATACTAGCAGGAATATTTGCTTCTACTGTTACACAACCCGCTGATGTGATCAAAACGAAGATGCAATTATACCCAAATGAATTTAGAGGAGTTCGTAATGCGATAATCATGGTTTATAAGAAATATGGTGTGTTGGGATATTTCAAAGGCATTGTTCCACGAATGTTGAGAAGGACATTAGTGACTGCTATGGCTTGGACTGTATATGAAGAGGTATTATAATTTTTCCAAATCTTTTATGTTTTTATTATCAAGACAATTTTAAAACAGATCACACTAATTATGTAATATATAATTTTTAGGTTACAAAAAGTATAGGGCTTAAATAAAATTGTTTTCATTCAGTGGTATGATAATTGTTTGGTGTCTGTTGGTATGAAATTAAACGAAAATGAACAATTCATACACAGCAAAAGTCGCTCAGCCAAATATTTACACTTTGATGTACAGTATTTTAGTTTGTACAAAGATTTAATAATAGCAAACAATTGTAGTATAGCAAATATTACTACTATGTACAGTATTTGGATAGAGTTATATCCTATCGCTTGATAATGTATTATTGATGTGTATATACTTATTTAATAAATTATACAGTTTTGTTTTCAATATCATACAATGTTATACAATATCATTGATTTATTTA